GGGGGGATGAGGCTGAAGCAGAGCATAAAATAAAATAAATTAATGATAAAGCATGATTAAGAGTGAGCAGTGATGAGATTTAAGTTGAATAATTAATAAGCATCTTGTAAGTTTATAAAACAATTTACTGTTATGTCTTAAGTACATTTTACAGCAATACATTTATTTTGCTTCAAATTTCAATCTGGTCGTCTTTAAGTTTGTATTCGACAGAATACCTTATTATCTCCTTTAAAAGTACTGAAACAAATGTTTACGTGACATACAAAGGCAAGTTATTATTTTGGCCGGTAAAAAATATGTTTGGCCAGTGGATTTTTTCATCTGCCAGTCCCATTGGCAGGTGAGCCAAAAAGTTAATTTCCACCCCTGGCTGTGTCCTACTAAGAACAGGGGTTGAAGAGGCGCACTGCCTGGATGATAATGCAGGCCAGCCAGTCGCATCACAAATCTCAGGGCTCTTTGTTCTGTCTGATACTTGTCCTTCCCAAGGAAATGATTTACTAAGAGCGTCCCAGGGAGGACTCCCACTTTCAGATTTATTACTCAGTTGTTCTTGGTAGTCTTGTTGGTGTTAATTAGCCGTGTTTAGCATGCTCTTGTCCACTGTTTTGGGTCCATGCTAAAGTAGTGTCATTCCCACAGAGTCCATTCACTTCCACATTCACTTCTAACCTGTGGATCTTGGTTTCCAGCACTGCAATTTTCTATAGAAGTGTGTGGAAGTCGTCCGTGGAGAAGTGTGGCATCTAGGATTAGCTATAACTCCAGTCACTGCAGTACAGGCTAGGGCTGTTGATAGGCCCCACTCGCTTGCACTAAGATCCTAAAAGTGTTTAAAGTATGGCAATAGCCTACTTCATCTGAATAGATGACAGTCCCAGTGATTTAAAAGTATCCAAGAGCTGCTGCTCATAATTTGTAACAGGAAAAAGAGAGTTTCAGCAAAAGAATGCAAGCAGAGGTAAGAGCAAAGCAAAGCATCTGCAGGAGGAAGCAGGAAGCGAATGCCAGCAGTGAAAAACATTTGCTGGTGTCTCCATTGCTTCTAGCTGAAATCCAGTGTTGTGAAGGTTACTTTGGAATTGTAATAGGTTACCGATTACAAGTTACTCTTTTTAAAATGTAATAGTTGTTAATAATTTATTACATTTAATTACTTTTCAAAATTTCTAATGAGTATTTTTATCTGTTTGAAAATTTTGAAAAGACAGCTTGAAAGGTAATTTAACTGGCAGACAGGGGGCGCTGCAAATTCAAATATGAGAACCAATCAAAAGCATCAGAATAGTATTAAACTTTATTAAACAGCTGTGGCTGAAAATAGCAAAGGAAAACATTGCACATAAAAAACAAAAACAATATTATTCAACATACAGCCTATAAATATTAACAACCCTCAATGTAATCATGAACATTTTGATAAGTAACTGTAATTTAATTACACATTACACTCACAATTTTCCCAGTAACTGCAACCGATTACAGTTACATTTATTTTGTAATTAAATTATGTAACTAAATTACATGTAACTAGTTATTCCCGAACACTGCTGAAATCTTACATGCACAATCAAAAAAGCCTTTTTGTTAAGACCAGTAGCTTCGTTTAACATCAGGCAGATTTTTGGCGCACACTGCTTCACCAGCGCGAACGTTTTGTTCTTCATTTCAGAAGCAATGTGTGGCAGAATATGGGAACATGCAACATTTGAATGCAGAATATAATGGCAGTTTCTTCACGTCAGAGGCAGTAGAGTTAATGGTGCCTCTCACCATTCTTTGGCTAGTTTCATGCCCATAGCTTTCTCAGGACCAAGTGAGCCTACCTCACTACAACTTCCGCAGCCAAAGATAGCTCCATGAGTGAGTGGCTTGGTGACTCTTAAATTGCTCCGCAGTGGGTAGCCCGGTTGCTTTAGATCCCTTCTCCACATCATCGTCTGACAAGCTATTGTCTTCATCGTGCAGCTCAAACTCCCCTTGTCATTCATCCTCAATGATAGCACTAGCATCCACAACCACAGCAGCTCTGACCTGGCTATCTGGTGGCTCCTTATTCGCATTTGGTTGATCTTTTCTGCTCTGTTTAGGCGCTGGAGGTTTTGTGGCTTTGCCAAAGAAATTTAAAATAATACTCTGTCTCTTAAACATTTTGTTCTTTGTATTTGGAGGAGCGCAAAAGGCTTAAACTCGGTGATCGGTGCTCTGGTTAACTGCGGCACAAGTTAAGCACTGCCTGCATGTAAGCTAATTTTTGCAGTAAGTCACAATCAGTCTATGAGTTTCATCTTGTTTAGGTCCTATTTCCAATGCTCCAGCAAATCCACATGCGTAACTGTCATGTGTAATGACATCAACACAGTTGATTCTTCTTTGCTGTTCTTCTCTGTGGAGTAGGCAGAATAATCTTTATGCAAATGGGTGTTACAGAGAGAGAAAGAAGTGTATGACAGGCGAGGTCTCCAGCTGATATAAGTCCAGAGCTTTTTTGTTGAAAACAGCTTGGGCTGGAAATAAGGTTGATTGTGCGTGGGCTGTAAAACCAGATCAATAAGCGGAATGACGCTTAAACTCCAGTCGAGTCATAGCAAAGAGTCAGGTGAAAATTGTCAGTGGATTTGTCACTACAAGCAACCCTTTTCACATTACACAGTCATATGACCCATTGCATATAACAATCTTCATTAGTGCACCTTTAATGTTGGACCCCCACTATTTTTTTTATTTTCTTTTTTCTTTGTCAAATGTTGAAATTCAAAAGCTAGTTAAAGCATATATTTTTTTACACCAGCATAACCTTCTCATCCTTGGTGAAAAGGAGTTCACACTGCTAAAGTAAACCTGACCTCTGCTCTACTTTTGTGGTTCCAAAGAAAGTTGCCTTAAAGGAACTCCTGCACCTCACTCATGGGAAGAGAAGTGAGCTCTCCAATTGGACCATCATCTATTAATCTTTTTGCAGCCTTTCAATGTGATAGATTTATTACCATTGGTGAAGTGAACCTGAAAAGATGTACAGAGGTCTGAACGTTTAAAGACGATTCTAAGGATCGGAGACAGTATAAGCAGATACCCAATTAATATAATAATAATTAATAAGCCCTAGCCCCAAAAAACACCTAGAATAACATATCCAATATCAGGTATAACTCCTGAACCTGAATATTTCTGATAGAGGCTTGATAGATCAGAAGCTAAGGGATATGAATCCATTGTAAGCCTGTATGTTACCATTCCAGCGTAAACAGAGATGCAATAAAGAAAAAGATAAGCTTTTCATCCTCGCCTAGTATGATAATCTAAATTTCGATGGCAATATAACCAAAGTCAATAATACGTAATAATGCAACTGACTGTCTCCTCCTACTCCTGACTAAAGCTGTAACGGTAAATCTGATGAAAAGACTCTCAAATACAACATTTATGATACAATTTAGAAAGAGATACTTGTAATGGAAATATGTCCTTTAGTGAGTTTTTTTAAATAAAGAGTCCAATCCAGACGTCTTTTAAGGGTTTTAGTCTTTGCAAAGGGTCATACAGACATACAGAGTGCAAACAGTCTGCAGAGTGTAAGACCAAGCCAGTGAAGAAACAGGTGACTTTGTATTACGCAGCTATCTTAGGGAGGAAGGGAGTAGGGACCAACTGTCCTGAGATAAGGCCTATGACTCAGGCGGTCTCCATGTTTTAGCCATGATTGCTGTTTACATGTTGACTGTTTACTGGAAGTTTTACTTCAAAGCACTTTATTTCCATGTAGCCATGTTACAAATAACATAGATCTCCCTAATATTGAATTGTATTGATAACACAATGAATATTGATCAGTATTCATATCACTGAAGAGGTCCATGCTGTACCGGCAGATCCAACAAAAGGCCCCACAGTGATGTATCAGGGTAGTTGAACGTCGAGGTGACTGCAGTCATTACCCACGTAATGCAAATGAACACAAGCCAGCTGAAATGATTCCAAGATGGTGCCCAGACAGTGGGGTAATTACAAGTGGTTTTTAAAAATAATGTGAATAAAAGTTGGAAGACTGCGACTCCTGGAACTGTCGTGAGGGGATCAGCAAGAGAAAGGACTCCTTACTTGACTCCTTCATGTTGTTAGCTTGAAGCGATGGCCTGCACTGGCTTAAAATGAGAACAGCTGTGAGATACATATTTAATCAATTCTTAGGTAAAGAAATATCAGATCAGACTTGTTTCAGCAGATAGACAATATTAGGACAATGATCAGAAGTGAGGCAAATAACTTGACCAAAAGACATCCCCCAGTCTAAATATTTCATTATATTGTATATTGTATCCAGCTGAGTGTGTATGTATGTATTGTAAATGAGGGTTTGTATTGAACTTAGAACATTGAATCAAATCAGGTGTTTTATATTATTGTGTTTTATGGTTTGGCATGCAAAATAAAGTTTCATCACGAAAAATACTGGCTATATACTATTTTAAGCTTTCTACTCTAAAGCAATATCAAGATGAGTGAACGGAGAATAGACCTTGAGCTCATCCACTAGCTATGCCTGCTTATCCTTGAGGGCCAATCCTAGCTGACATTGGGCAAGGGGCGGGGTTCACCCTGGCATGTCGCCTTACAATCACACGTAGAAACAGACGAATCAAGTTCACAGTCACACCTACGTTGCCAATGAACCTAACCTGCAGGACAATAATACAGATAAATGGCTGTATGATTTAGATTTTGTTCATGCTAATTTATGGGAATAAAACATTCAAATTATTTATTTAATTTTTTTTAGAACGTATTTCAAATGTCTTTACAGTCTGAGTCTGGATATCTTTCAAGTTGCAAACTGAAAGGTCAGTCATTTGCAGTGTCATTTTATTTATTAACGTTTGCATGAGGGTATGTGACGCAATACATTACAAAACAAATAACATCATAAGACACATTTTTAGAACGCCCCATTATCTCAGCGGTGCTTCATTACACATGCTGTGCTGAGTGAGTAGTGTTGCATCAGTGAAGATAGTGTGGCCGGATATTTCCTAGCGCAGGACAGAATGGGGGCTGGTCTTGGTTAATTTTTGACCAAACTCTCAGCTCACTCTCAGAGCTCCTGTATATAAAGTGGAGGTTCCTGACAATCTGTCTGCAGCAAAGAGGCTATAAAGGGTAAGCATGGCACTTTATTGAAATATGCAAAAACAATGTCTATATGATTTTAATTTTAAGATGTATAGACTGGTACAACTCAGGTTTGAATGCTTTGAAGACATGGAGAAATTTAGAGCTGCTAGAGGCTAAATCATATCACTGTGTTCTGTTTAATTTAAAGGTAGTGAGCCATCATCTTCTGTCTGGTTGTCATTCCAAAAATGTTATAAATTTTACGACATTGAGCCCAACTAACCACCCCTCTGATTTTTCCCCGGACAGCTGGAAAGATGCGTGGGATCTTTGCTAGTTGTGCACTCGCAGCGCTGCTGTTGGCTACAGCCTGGGCAGACCACCACCCCCACCACCATGGCTCTGAACACAGTCATGAGGGAGAGCTGAGCTGCCATAAGCTGTCCCCTGCCAATGCTGACTTTGCCTTTGCCCTCTACAAAAGCCTGAATGCCAAGGCAGCAGCTGGAGAGAACATCTTCTACTCGCCGCTGGGCATCTCCACCGCCCTGTCCATGCTGTCTACAGGAGCCCGTGGTGAAACTCACAGCCAGCTGTTCTCCAGCTTGGGCTACAGTGCTCACAACCAGGCACAGGTCAATGAAGCGTATGAGCATCTCTTCCACATGCTTGGCCACAGCCAGGAAAATCAACAGTTGGATGTCGGTGATGCTGTTGCGGTACGCTCTGGCTTTGATCCTCTGGAGACGTTCCTGAAGGATGTCAAGCACTACTACTCCGGTGAGATCTTCAACGTCGACTTTTCCAAACCTGCTGAGGCTACAGCAGAGATCAACACATTCATTGCCAGAAAAACAAAGGACAAGATCAAAGACCAGGTGAAGGACCTGGACCCTGCAATGGCCATGGTGCTGATAAACTATGTCTACTTCAGAGGTAGGACATATACCCATACAGAGATTCTCAGAGACAATAGACCATGCATTTTACATTTACATTTCTTCATTTAATTGACGCTTTTATCCAAAGTGACTTACAATTGCTACATATGTCAGAGGTCGAACACCTCTGGAGCAACTGGGTGTTAAGTGTTTTGCTAAGGGACACATTGATGTGCAAACAGAATGCCAGCTGCTGCATGTGTACAAGTTCAGGTGCAAATCTCCTCCTGTAGTTTAAAGAGTTCAAGGACAGAGCATGCAACATATATGTAAAACATACCAGTTGGAAAGAGATCAAAGGAATTCAAGACAATTATAGTGAATAGTGAGTTGACATGCTTTCATCTTGCCCCCTCCGCTGCCCCCTACAGGACAGTGGGAGAAACCCTTCGATGGTAACCTGACACACAAGGCAGACTTCAATGTGGACGAAACCACCAAAGTTCAGGTGGATATGATGAAGAGGACAGGTCGGTACGACTTCTATCAGGATGATGCTAACCACACCACCGTCATCAGGCTGCCCTACAAGGGCAACACCTCCATGATGATTGTCCTGCCGGATGAAGGCAAGATGCAGGAGGTGGAGGGCTACATTAACAAGGACTACATCAGGCACTGGCATGACTCGCTCTTCAGGAGGTAAGACAGGAACTAGATTTTCTTTTGAATCTTCAAAGTGGTTGTAAAGTGTGTCAGTACAGTAACAGTGTGGTCACACTGAATAGATCAGAAGTATTTAATTTGCTCAAACTGGCCATATTTAGTACAATTTGAGTAAACAAGCTGTAAGTCAACTGTATACTGCAGCAACTCTGACACTGGTGATGTCCTGTGTTTTTCAGTTCTGTGGTTCTGTCCCTGCCAAAGTTTTCCATCTCTGCTGATGCTTCCCTGGACAGCACACTGAAAGAAATGGGCATTACCGATGCTTTTGCAGACAGTGCTGATTTCTCTGGCATGTCTGACGAGGTCATGCTCAGAGTCTCAAAGGTAAGAGGGGCAAACATGCATTCACATGTTTGTTGTGTTGTTGTTAGTGAACGCTTTAAAGCAACATTCCTATTTCCCCGGCACTTGCTCATGGAGGAACATTAACATGTTCACAAATACATAGAAGAGAGTAGATGCTGCAAAGACCCTTTGTCTGCTTGTAGCTTCTACAGACCTGTGCTCTAATTCAAACAAGACCCTGACTGCCTCCTCCTGCTTCCTCCACAGGTGTCCCACAAGGCCGTGCTGAGCGTAGATGAAACAGGAACAGAGGCAGCAGCCAGCACCACCATCGAGGTCATGCCCATGAGTATGCCTGAAACCCTGAAAGTCGACAGGCCCTTCTTGGTCTTCATCTTGGAGCATTCGACAAGGAGCATCCTCTTCATGGGCAAGATCAACAACCCCACAGCCATGTAAATGCCATGCTGGGGAAACGAGTGTTGCATTTTCACAATGCAGTAGGTTTTTAGTAGCTTCAGGACAATGGCTCATTTTTACCTCAGCATCTGAAAGCCCTATTGAGATGTCATGGTGATGAATAGAGGATAGTTTTATGAATAAGACAACCCATATATCATTGAGTAACAGAAATGTTAGTTTATTAATCTGCTTGCAGTCTGTCAGCATGACACATTTATTACCATCCGTCATCTGAACCTGGCTAGACGTATAAATGTCTAATACCATCATTATATATTGTATCCAGCTGACGGTTGCACCTGATAGTAATACGTCACTTCAAACGTCTGCTAACACATTGAGCCAACATGTTATTGTGCTATTTCTGTTTCAACATGAAGTGAAATAAAGACTTGTAATGAACAACTGGCATTTGGGGGTTTTATAAAACAAATCTAATCTAATGTTGAGTTCACAGGTTGGTTAATGAGTTACAGTATCAGTTAATGCTGAATTGAGAAGGAATCAGTTCAATGGACCTTTTTGAATGAACCTCTTCATATTTCCCTCAAAGCCCACTGATTTCTGTTGCATTGTTTGATTTCTTTAATTGTCTGCTTTGCTGGAAGCCCTCCTCCCCCCCACAGAGGTACGTTTGTAAAACACATTGTTAAACCAAAACTCCCCTTTCAGCACCAACGGTTCTTTACCAATGTTGTGTCGGGTGTTGCATCAGTAAAGCTAGCATTGCCAGAAATCTCATGGCCCAGGACAGAAAAAGAGGCTGGTCCTCATTAATTTTTAATAAAACTGTCAGCTAACTCTCTTGAATCAGTTTTGTGTAATGGTGAATTTTCTGCCAAACCGCAGCAAAAGAAAGACGGTAACCATGGCTCTTCATTAAAACATGATGAATGTTTTGCATAATATTTGAAAACTTACATGTAAATTTCATAAATAGTTGACATTTGGAATGCATTACATTTAGAAATGAAGCTTTCAAAATGTGGGGGCAAAATTTATCATAGAACAGAAGTTGCTGTTTAATGGTAACATATCATTAGAGCATTCTGTTTATACGGTGTTGAGCCATTAAGTACTGTCAGCTTCAATATTTTAATTCATCACATTAGATAAAATTTACCCTCACAGCATGTTATCAAATTACATTCCACTTGTTTTTTCTACAATCATGGTTATAAAGTTGTTTATCAGACACTACTATGATTTACTTGCCTGGGCAACCCACCACCGCGACCCTGAACTGCTACAAGCTGTCCTCTCACATTTCTGACTTTGCCTTAGTCCTCTACAAAATTCTGAATGCCAAGGCTGCTGCTGGAAAAAAAATACTTGGCCACAACCAGGTAAAATAGAAACAGATTTATGGATCAATCTACAAATCAATCGGTCACACTTTCTATGAAGGTCATCGCTATAATGACTTATGCATATATTTATAACACGATATAATGCGTCCATAAGACATTATAACAGTTGTTATAATCAATTACAAACATTCATTAGGCGCTATAGCAAAGTTCATAATGTATTATGACCTTTTGATTTAATGTTTTATAACTAATAGTAATACCAGTTTATATCAATGTGCACAAGAATCTCCGACCATGTTCCATAACACATAATTTACACCGACTCTGCCTCGTTATACACTTTAGTCACCATTTACAATTAGTGATATAAAATGGAATAATAGCTTATAGTAATGTTTAAAGTTATATAGCATGTCTTTTTTTGCTTTAAGTAAAGTGTTAAAATATCTATCCCTGTATAATATATTACAGGTGGACATAATACCATATGAACTAATTATACGACCTTATAACACGTAATTGTTTGCTTTAAGTAAAGTGACACACATTTTGCGCAGGAAAACAACTTGTATTTATGTTTCTTCAATTTATGAACAATCTGTATGAATTTTGAACATTTTGCAGTTTAGCACAAAAACACAACATAATTACATCAAGAAAACTCATTGTCAGGGTGGTGAGAGATCGCTCAAGAGAAGACCTGTTGCCGACCAACATCATGTAAGAAGAGGCTCAGATGTTGTCACAGATGAATGGCGAGCCTATGGACAGGCCCTAACAGATGCAGTGGACGATTAAAGACAACCACTTCACAAAACGTAGACATTTTAAAGTAATTGAATGGGAATACTGTTTGGGCAGTAGGGATGAGAATCTCTTGCCACCTCACGATTCGATTTGATTACAGTTCAGAGGGCAGTGATCCATCGTGATGCATTTTTTTCTGTGTAAATTCTGGACAATTACTAAGCATTACGTCTACATATTAAAATCCAAAAGAAATATCTCCTCAATTGCTTAAAAGGACTAGTTTACATCCCTGATTTACTTTAGTAGCCTCAGCTCCTCCGTGGTCACCAGCGTCCTTCCTTTAACAACCAGTTGTCAGACTCCTCTGGACACTGAAATATAATTTAACGTAACTAGCAGGATGTACAGTATGTGTACAGGACACCAGTTTAGCTTCAACCTGCTGTTCTCATTCCTCAACAAGTTAGGTAGTAATAACACGCAACTAATTAACATTACTCCATTACTAATTTAGCTAACGTTACACTGCAGCCAAAACCGTGCTTTACAGACCGGGGATCTTTTAGCTAGCGCTAACCGCCTTCACTTTTCCAGCAGTTGCGGAAACAACAGACTTAACGGACACACAGTGACCTACACTGCACATGTCTGCCTGATGGACAACTTACTAAGTAACTTTATATTTATAATATATATATAATATTTTCCTCCACTAACTTTCACCGTCACGTTCTCCCCGTTCTGCTGCTCGCTCTCTCTCTTTCGCTGGCACACACTCGCTTTGCACACAGGAACCAAAACAGCGATGAGTGTTGCTGCACGGTGTGCCGGTGAAAATCAATGTCGCAGTCATATTGATGACCGTGTGAAATTTTAGTAGCGTGGTCATTCATTCAGCAGTGGCGAAATGCGTCAAATACAACACTGGTCTCAGACCAGTAACAGAGATCAAGGGTCTCTGTTATGTGCACACCTCCGACTGTCCGAGCTCTGCACTTCTGTTCTGAAGGTTCCGCCATTTGCGTTCCGTGAACATTATGGTATAGTACTGTATAGTATACTTCTTTGTGATGCGGACATGGAAGATTCTGAATTGGTTATGAATGAGAGAGAGCGAGCAGCAGAATGTGACAGTGAAAGTTAGCGGAGTAAAATATATAAGTTACTTCGTAAGTTATCAGTCAGGCAGAACATGTGCAGTGTAGGTCACAGTGTGTCCGTTAAGCTATTATTCCATTTTATATCACTAATTTTAAGTGTATTCATAACGTGGCAGAGTCGGTGGTTGTAATGTGTTATGGAACATGGTCAGAGATTCTTGCGCACATTGATATAAACTGGTATTACTATTAGTTATAAAACATTAAATCAAAAGATCATAATACATTATGAACTTTGCTATAGCGCCTAATGCATGTTTGTAAGTAATTATAACAACTGTTATAATGTCTTATGGACGCATTATATCATGTTATAAATATATGCATAAGTCATTATAGCAATGACCTTCATAGAAAGTGTTACCAATCAATCTTCAATTTACTCATATTTAGACAAGAAGTAGCAACAAAACAGCTGAGACAAACTATAAAAACATGCAGGTGTTGACATTTATGAAAAAGGTTAACTAATGTAACAGTATGAAGGTGCTGTGGAAGTAATGCTAATATTAATGAGTCTGCCATCTTTCCTGAATCAGTCTGTTGTATTATTGCAGAAGTGACATTGACGCTGTGTGTGTCAACAAGTAGTGCCTTTTCCGAGCGAGAACAAAGATGGCAACAGCTAAAGCCTCAAGATACTTAGACCTTTTCTAACCTTTGCAGTCAGGAAAATTATGCTGCAGCCCAACAGCCAGTACAGAGGTTCAGTGTACAGTACACTACTGCCATACTGCTATTTATTGCATACATAATGCATACATTTTATATATTTATTCCTTTTCAAATTTTATTTTTTTGATTTAAACATTTGCAAACATTTATACTTCTAATTTTCCCCTGATCATGTACTTAGTGGAGGCTCATTGTACCATTATGGTTGTTATTACTTTTAGCATATTGTATTTTTGCTCCTTTTGTATATTTGCTACATTTAAATTTTACACAATCTACTGGAGACACTAAGAAAGCATTTCACTGCACACTTGTATGATTATGTGAGTGTGTTAGTCTTTTAAGTCTAAATACATTATTTTGTAGTGCATCCAGCTGACGTTTGTGTGTGATACAGTTAATAAAAGCAGTGGTGCATATATTGCACTGCTGACACACTGAGCCAACTTGGGTGTCATTGAGCAGTTGTTTCAGCATGAATTGGAAAAAAGACTTCAAAAACAACTGGCATTCTATATGTTACTCATTCAACTTCAAATCAGTGTTACTTTCAATATCAGTCCTACTGATTAGTGGCTGCATTTAGTTTTACAGAAGGGATTTAAAGTGGAAATAAAGTGAAGGCTCCTCATTTCAGCTGTAACATTTGTTTGTGTATGTGATGCTTGTGTGTACACAACCTTTAGACCAAAACTCCCCTAACTCACCAGTGGTGTTGTGTTGAGTGAGTTGTGTTGCAGTGAAGGGAAGATAGCTTTTGCCAGAAATTAGGAAAGGCTGCACTTGTTAATTTTTAATAGATCTGTCATCTGACTCTCTTCGATCTACTGAATATAATGATGAAGTTTGTGCCAAACTGCACCAGAGAAGACATTAATGGTAAGGATGAACCTTCAATGATACATGCTGAACGTTTTAAATACATTTTTAAGGACATTAAGAAGTAAGTGACATTTGGAAGTTTAGCAGTGAACTTTTTTAAAAAATGTGACAAAATGTGCGTTGAAATGGAAGTGTGAAGGTGTTAAGATAGGATCGTTAGTCTGTCCTGTGTAAAAGGTATTGAGCCTTTAGCTACTGTCGACATTATTCCTTTCATTCATTATGTTTTAAACAATGTTCTAAAAAAGCTTGTAATTTAATTAAATTTTTTTGCTTGGTTGATTTTAATCTTATTTATAGGGTTGTTTATTATCAGAAACTACTATGATTTACTGTGGTCACGATCCACTAACAGCTTCCTCTGGTTTTTCCTGTTGTATGGACAGCTGTAAAAATGCGTGGTATCTTTGCTCGCTGTGTGCTCGCAGCACTGCTGCTGGCTGCAGCCAGGGCAGACCACCACCACCACCACGGCTCGGAACACAGTCATGAGGGAGAACTGAGCTGCCACAAGCTGTCCTCTCCCAATGCTGACTTTGCCTTTGCCCTTTACAAAAGCCTGAATGCCAAGACTGCAGCTGGAAAGAACATCTTCTACTCACCGCTGGGCATCTCCACCGCCCTGTCCA